AAACACACCTCTGTTGGTCCAATCGACCAATCAGAAAGTTCTCAAATAAACCGGAAGTGAGCTCTTTTAAAAGGTGCAACACTTCCTAGTTCACAGTAGTTCTGCAAGAGGTTCCAGCTCCAGTCGAGTTCTGGAGAGCTCAGTAGTTCGGAGAAGTTCTCGGCAGTTCTAGGAAGAACGCTGAGGAGAACGCTGAGAGAATGCTGTGAGTTGGTTCCGAGAGGGCAGCAGAGTTCAGAATGCTGGAATGCAGAATGCTCAGGACATCTGCGACTAAGCTGAACAAGAGAAGTTCAGAGGAATTATGAAGTCTGTTCTAGGACGATCTCACGACTCCTGAGGTTTAGCTGTTCTTACGGAGACGCTGGAAGAGTTGAAAGGAAAGCTCTACACCAACGCTGAAACTGTCATCTGCAAAGGTAAAAGAGTCGATCTCAACCAAAGTGTACCGTTGGGTTAAGCTGGTCCGAAGGAGCGTGTTGTTCTGGTATAAAGACAAATTCCCTCACCCATCTCTCTCAAGATAAACTTCATTTTCCATCTTTAAACTCTTCTATCTGCTAGCAAATTAATCCAGATATTTTTTAGAAATGTCTGTTGTGAAGCAACGGAAAATCATGGCCGTAAGGTTTTCCTGATTGTAAAGCTGATTAATTATGTTGTTATTTTCATATTTTGCCAAATTAATGTAAATGTGTGATGTGTTAAACTTTGATTCTGTAAATAAATGACCCACTGTCGTTGGTGAGTCAAAGATAAACACGTTTCCGTCCACATTTAATTAAATTCAATGCACGTCATTATTCAGTCCAGAAAAATGAAAGAATCCTTTTAATTTATGAATATATACAGAGTATGTTCTCTACACAGGGTCCCAGTTACATCCAAAAATATATAAATTGTAAAGGAAAAACAGTAATAAGATCTAAGATATGAACTAAGAAATACACTAAACCAATAATACGCTAAGCACTAATAGTACAAAAACAATACACCGAACAACAGCACAAACATGAGTTATTATTATTATTATTATTTATTTATTCATCCATCCATCCATTATCTTTTACCCGCTTCTTCCATTTTGGGTCATGGGGGTCGCCGGTGCCCATGTCCAGCAATCACTGTGCGAGGGGTGGGGTACACCCTGGATGGGTCACAAGTCCATCACAGGGACACATAAAGACAAACAACCATTCACTCTCTCACTCACACCTAGGGACAATTTAGAGTTACCAATCAGTCTAACATGCATGTTTTTGGTCTGTGGGAGGAAACCGGAGTACCAAGCACGAGAGGTACATGCAAACTCCACACAGAAAGACCCCTGGTCCAACCGGGGATTGAACCCAGGACCTTCTTGCTGTGAGGCAACAGTGCTAACCACTGAGCCGTCGTGCTACTTGAGTACCGGCACGTGTGAGTGTGTGTGAGCAGATGAGTACAAATGAACACAGCAGCATGAAATAAATCATCAGCATGAGATCAGCAGCATGAATAGTCAGCAGCACATATCAACAATCAAGTGGCATTACAGTGTTTTTTTTTTTACAGTGATAATCCTGATTAGGGATTTATGAGTCTAACAGCTTCAGGGTAGAAGCTGTTCCTCAGTCTAGTGGATCTACACTTAATGCTCCTCAACCTCCTGCCTGAGGGGAGTGGGGCATAAAGTGTGTGTGCTGGGTGAGTGGGGTCCTTCATGATGCAGGTGGACCTCTTCCTGCATCTGGAGGTGTTGATGTCTGTGATGGTGGGGAGACTGACTCCAGCAGACTTCTGTGCAGCCTTCATGCCACATGTTGATGCTGGAGCACAGGATGCTCTCCACTGCACACCTGTAGAAGGAGGTGAGGACTGAGCTTCCCTGTCCAGCTCGTCACAGCCATCTGAGGAAGTAGAGTCTCTGATGAGCTTTCTTGATCAGGCTGGTGGTGTTGTTTCTTCTTGCGGTTAAAATCATCAGCCACCATGTAAAATGCCTCAGAATGTTTGTTTTGCAGTGAGCTAATATTATCATGAAGCTCCCACAAGGCGGCTTTAGCATTAGCATCTGGGGTTATGTGAACAACTTATATAAACACCGCCGTAAACTCACAGGGTAATTAATGTGGTCGACACTTCACTATTAGCTGCTCCAAAGCCTTGGAGCAAGAGCTGTTTATCAGAGTACAGTTTGTGCACCAACTTTTACTCTCATAAATACACACTCTGCCTCACCATGATTTCCCCGTTAGCTCAATTCAGCGGTCCACTTGAAAAAAAAGTCTGTCGTCCAGCTGAAAAGCTGAGTCCGGCATGTCGCTGTTAAGTCATGATTCAGTGAGACAAAGCATCACACATTTCCTCCTCTCCTCTGAGTAATCTACTCTCAAATGAAGCAAGTCCATCTTATCCAAAGAACGGACGTTTGACAGAAAGAGAAAGGGTATCGGTAGTCTGCCAGTCTTCTCGTTAGCTTAAAGTCTTACAAACACTTCCGCCCAGCAACCTCTGTTCTTCAGATGGGAACAGCACCTCCTCTTCTTGTTTGAGCACCCTGCTGCAGCCTCCATGCACATGGCTTTAAGAGCTGCAGTCTGCTGAGTGTAGATTTAAGATAGTTGCTGATCACTGCTGTATCCCGTGGTAAATCCTCTCTCATTCTCATCAGTTTGGTTCGGCTATAATTCTCATGCTTAAAGCGTGCAGAGTCAGTCTATTTAAAAACTCCTGAAAACTAGGATTGCACCGGGAGCCAGCAAAGCTGCTGCTTCTGAGAGCGTGACCATCTTGGCAAGCAGCGATGCTACATGCTGCGTAAAGTGAACCAAAGTATTTTTTGTTGTTATTTCTTAGTTTGAAGAGCCAATCTATGGAAGTATGAACACAGACTTCACCACCTTTGTGACACCAGGAGCTGTGCTCAGGTCAGTACAAATCTGACTGGTTAAAGAATGTTTTGGTTCAAAATCTAATCAACGTGTCAGATGGAAACGTGCTATAAAAACACAATAAAGTAATGATGTATAAAGAATACAGTTTTCCACTTTCTTATTGCCTTTTGCTCTTCTTTTCTTTGTCTTTGTCTCTGCAGCATCTCCTTTTACCTGGCTGTTGGTCTGACGGCACTCTCCTTTGTCCTGGAGAGGAAGGAGGGGCTTCTGGACCGGTGCTGGGTCGCAGGTGAGGGGTCAAAGTTGCTCCAACATCAGCAACGATTTAAAAACTTTGCTTTACTCAGTTCAATACATGTTCATTTTAGGCTCCTATGAGTACTTTCACGCTTGTTGACCGTCAGAAATTAAAAAAAAAAAAGCCACTATCTTAGTGTTAAATCTCTGTAAACAGTAACATCAATTCAATTCAGATTATTTATACAGCGCCAAGTCACAACAGAAGTCGTCTCAGGACACTGAACAGAAACATTCATGTACATTACAACAGGGGTGTCCAATACATTGATAGTGATCTACCGGTCGATCACAAAGGCATTATTGGTAGATCACATAGCATAAAAAAAAATAAATAAATAGACGTCAGCCTATTATCCATCCTCACTATGAAATTTGCTACTTGATTGGCATACAGGGCAGCCAATCACAGCCCTCATTCTCTCAAACCAGGTCTGAGAGATTTTCGAGGAAACCCCATCCCGCTCCCTCACCCCTGAAGGTGTGAAATTCTCCATGTGTGAAGTTGCACATACAGGCAGTTGCAGTCCAAAGTTTTTCTGTGCTAACAACAGTTTTAAAAAATGGCAGAGAGCAGAGTGATTTTTGCACTACTCACCCTTTTTCATCATGTAGGAGCAAAACTAACAAAATCCAGGGTCCAAATTAGACATTATTCACCAGTTTGGATGTAAGTGTGATCATGCAGTCGCTGCATGCACAATGAATACAGCTGAGCCTGGGGTTGCCAGATAAATTTAAAATGCCTTATTTACCATCTCCTTTTCTGTGCACATGTCCAAGAAACACAAAACAAACTTCATCTTGCTCAAGATGAGAGTTCTGTGACGGACTTAAATTCAAAGCAGTCTGCTCCTCAGACAAATAGTGTTAAATTATTATTTTGTATATATGAATGTTTCTGTTCAGTGCCCTGAGATAACTTCTTTTGTGACTTGGTGCTATATAAATGAGCTGAATTGAATCTTAGAAAATCTTTACTCAGCACATATGACAGTTTAGGTCAAAATACTATCATTTCAAAGCCACAGTACTTTAGTTCATAATTTCTTATCTGGCAACCCGACTGACATGGAAACTACAGCATTTTTCATGCAAACCTGCCTATTTTTTGTTTATTACCACCAATAAACATTGAAAAAACACTAACGTTTCCAGAGGTCGTTCTCGTTTAAACATGGCATTTTAGCAGGTATATCACGTTGACTTGGTCATTTCAAAAGTAGCTCGCATGCTGAAAAAGTTTGGGTACCCCTGCATTACAACAAATTCTATTGCTATGGCAGCGCACAGAAGTGCAGCGGTTTCTCATGCTCCCTGGATTAAGTCTTATTTTAATTATTTAAATTCTTATGAGGCTGTTTTAGGCACTAGTTCAGTGCAAAACTCACGGCTCAAGTACACCTCAACCGAACTGATAGCCATAAGAGACAGTTTGGTTATTAATAATATATCAACAAGGCTGAAATCTGCACTCGGCAGACAGTGGTTCCTGAGGACAACAGAATGGCGCAGCAGAGTGCGAGGAGGGTCAAGAGGGTCAAGAGGAAACAATATGCCCGGAAACAGAAGATGGGGAAGCGGGTGGGTGCGTTGGCCCAGCTAAAGACTAGAAGACCACCGATTCCTTTGTCCACTTACTGGATAATATAATGGACCTGTTACATCTGCGGATTAATGTTTCTGCAGAGATGAAGAACTGTGCTATTCTTAACCTAACAGAAACCTGGCTTAACAACAACATGCTGGACTCAACTTTCCAGATCAATGGTCTTCAGTTATTCAGAGCAGACTGTGACCATCGGTAGGGTAAAACGCTGTGGTGGGGTTGGGGGTTGGGGGGTATGGGGAAGAGAATCTGTATGTTCGTGAATGAGGCAGCACAGTGGCGCAACTGGTAGAGCTGCTGCCTCTCAGCGAGCAGGTCCCTGGTTTAAACCCCGGTCCAGGGGCCTTTCTGGGTGGAGTTTGCATGTTCTCTCCGTGCATGCGTGGGTTTTCTCCGGGTACTCCGGTTTCCTCCCACAGACTAAAAACATGCATGTTAGGCTGATTGGTAACTCTAAATTGTCTCTAGGTGTGAGTGAGAGAGTGAATGGTTGTTTGTGTCGTTTGTCTCTATGTGGCCCTGTGATGGACTTGCGACCCATCCAGGGTGTACCCCGCCCCTCGCACAGTGATTGCTGGACATGGGCACCAGCGACCCCCGTGACCCAAAATGGAATAAGCGGGTAAAGATAATGGATGAATGGATGGATGGATGTTCGTGAATGAAGATTGGTATATTACCTCAATTCGTCCCAAAGGTAAACACCCCTTACCTGCTGACAAGCCTGTCAGGTTTTTTTTTTCTTGAGAAACATTGTTTTAATTAAAACAATAAGTTTGTATCTGTTGTGAGATGATTTTAGCAGTTTTACAGATTTTAATCTACTTAATGAAGAATAGTATGACTTAAAATCATTCATCAAACAGGAAGGAAGGTTTATTATCTCTCCTGTTACTACAGTGAATGTGGTACTTTGCTATAAGTACGACTATATTTATGGCATCAGAGAAAGCTGAGCTTAAGTTATCCACATAAAGTAAAACGGCATCAACATAAAAAGAAGGAATGTTAAGTCTGAGATTAATCCAGTTTCTGATGTTTGACCAAACACTTTGTATTGGCATGAAAAAAAATTGCTCGAGGGATTCATCTTTTGATTTACAAAAGACACACAAATCAACATGAAATTTAAATCTTCGTTCAAGAAACATGGCTACAGGATATATCATATTTATTATTTTAAAATGATTTTCCTTCACTTTAGGAGATTTAGGCTATTTGACAAATTTAGAATGAGCAGAAATCATTATGGTTTTATGATTTATACTGGGAGGTTTCTTGAAGGAAACTTTGTTATAATCAGTAAATCCTTTGTTGCAAACATTCATTGATAATCTTATTTCATTTGAAGTCAACTAAGTTTACAGTCATTTAGTTTTAATTTGGGCATCAAATCGTCACCTTTGAATTTATAATATTATTAATTCATTGAATCAGCTGTTGGTCAGGTTACTTTTTGTTGTGCCATTAGCTCTAAAATAGTTACTGAATCAAGTGTTTACTTCCATCCATCTGCGGGGGAATCAGCCTAAGTAGGGAGTCCCAGACTTCCCTCTCCCCAGCCACTTGGACCAGCTCCTCCAGGGGAATCCCAAGGCGTTCCAAGTGTTTACTTGTGTAGGTAAAACTAGATGTTAAACAACCATTAAAATACACCAGAATGCAGGAAATGGCATCTATTTTATTCAAAATTTTCTGGAGGAGGACCCCCAGACCACCCCATCAGTGTGTCCCCCCCACACACACATTATAAATGCTTCTGACACCAGTGGCCAACACTTTACTAAACAAGTACACATATGGTGCCGTGTGGTGTTCAAAGTGCGTTTAACTTAATTCAGTTTTGATGGTTTGTGTCAATGAGCATTTGGAGTTTTATACATAAAAATACTCTTGATAGTTAGAATTTTAAGTATATTTACAGTATATTATGGTAATTTATTCTGTATTTTGCCAGATTATGGTGATTCTGGGGTCGTGATGATGGGGCCCTTGAAGATTGTTGCCCAGGGTACAGCGAAGTGTTAATCTGGCCCTGGATACACTTACCTAAATTTTAATGTTAAGAGCTAGACCTTTGTCCAAATTGAATCAAACCTTCTCAAAGTCCCCAGATTTATGCCATTTACTTTTTAAAATAATATTATTGGTTCATATTCATATTCAATATTTGCCATAATTTACATGTCATAATTCAAGTCAAATTCAATTCAATTCAAAAATACTTTATTAATCCCAGAGGGAAATTATATGTTGGGTAACTCATCATCCTGGTTTCATTAATGAGTTGTTATAGATGCTGATGGCTGTGGGCAGGAAGGATCTCTTGTAGCAGTCTGTCCTACAACGGATTTGAAGAAGCCTCTGACTGAAGACACTTTGTTGTTGTATGACAGTCTGATGAAGAGGATGCTGAGGGTTGTCTATAATGTTCTTAATTTTATGAAGAATCCTTCTTTGAACAATCATCTCCAAAGGTTCTAGAGGAGTCCCCAGAACTGAGCCAGCCTTCTTTATGAGCTTGTTGATCTTTTTTAAGTCACTTGCTCTGGTGCTGCTCCCCAGCAGATGATGGCAGAAGAGATAGCACTCTCTACAACAGACTTATAGAAGATATGCAGCATCTTGTTGCAAACGTTGAAGGACTTCAGCTTCCTCAAGAAGTACAGTCTGCTCTGTCCCTTCTTGTAGATGGCTTCACTGTTGCATTTCCAGTCCAGTCTGTTGTCCAGGTGAACTCCAAGGTATTTATACTTCTCCACCACCTCCACTTCTTCTCCCATGATGAAAATAGGGTTGGATCTGTTCCTGATTCTCCTGAAATCTACAATCATCTCCTTTGTTTTGTTCACATTCAAGATGAGATGATTGTTTCCACACCATGCCACAAAGCGGTCCACCAGTTCCCTGTACTCAGCTTCTTGTCCATCTCTGATACACCCGACTACTGCAGAGTCATCAGAATATTTCTGCAGATGACAGGAGTCTGTTTTGTACTGGAAATCTGAGGTGTACAGAGTGAAAAGGAATGGTGAGAGTACAGTCCCCTGTGGTGCTCCTGAGCTACTGACCACCTGGTTAGACACACAACCCTTCAGTCTCACAAACTGTGGTCTGTCCGTCAGGTAGTCTTTGATCCAGGCGATTGTTGAGGCCTCCACCTGAGTCTTCTGGAGTTTCTGACAAAGCAGTTCAGGCTGGATTGTGTTAAATGCACTGGAGAAATCAAAGAACATGGCTCTCACAGTGCTGTCTGCCTTTTCTAGATGACAGTGAGTTTGCTGAAGCAGGTGTATGATGGCATCTTCAACTCCAAGTCCACGCTGATAAGCAAACTGCAGTGGGTCCTGATATGTGCTTGTTTGTCTAGTCAGGTGGGTCAG